ATCTGTTTTAATTTTTTTAATTAGCCAAATGAATTCCGAAATAAGTTTAATTTCGATTAAAAATAATAAATTAAATCTGGGAAACATCAACGAGAGAAAGAGGGGGGAAACTTCTAAGTAGACAACGTAACAGTTTTTTTTTTAAAAAAAAAAACTTCAAAATTGAATTTCCCCAAAATTACTAAATATGTCTTTTTAGCAATATAAATATATACACGGAAAAAATCAAATTACATTTTATACGTTACCCTCATTCTTCCACAAATATTAACTTATATAAAATATAAATTTTATTAATTTAACTATTAAATTATAATTATTATATCATTTTAATCATTTATTTTAAATTTTATCAAAATTAATTAAATATAAAAATATATTAAAGAATATTTATTTTATATATTGTAAAAATACATATTATGTTAATTTGATGTAAATAAATAAGATATTAAATAATTTTTAATTGATCTAAAACTTTGTAGATATGATATATATTATTAAAATGTTTAATATAACGATTAATTTTAAGACTAAATAATTTAATAAATATTATAAGGAAAAAATTATATATATATATATATAATTATTATTATTATTTATGAGTGGTAGATAGAATTTTTTTTAAAATCCCAAAGAATCATTGATGATATTTTGATTATTACTTATTTTGTATTGGTTATATTCAATTTGATTTAAAATTAATTTTTAAATTAATTGGATTTAAATTTTATTATTTATGTTTCTTTATGTGGTGCACTCGTTATTCCTATTTGTTTATTAAAAAAAAAAAAGAAACTTGTCATATTTATCTAATAAAGGCTAACTCAGTAAGTTTGTCAATTAATTTTAATAAAAAATTGAATTTCCTCGTTTGTATAAGTTTTTCTCTTCGTAAACAGATAAATAGAAAAAAGGTAGTATTAATTTATGAGAATATAAAATCTTATACTTTAGAAAGTAAAATTTGTTATCTAGAAAATTAAAATGCTATGCAATAAAATTGAGTTTGATAAAGTGTAAAGAGAACTTTTAGATTTTTGTATTTTTAAATACACAAATTTTAACGATTTATTGTATATTTTAGTATTGTTTTAATATTAATAATATATTAATTTTTTAATACACGTTAGAAGATATATAATAAAAAATTAATAAATAATAATTTTTTATTAAAAATTATAATATTTTATTTTATTAATATATTTAATTAAGTAATATTTTTAAAATTTTAATAAAAATGTACTGTATATAAATAATTAATATATATTTTAAATATACATTAAAAATGTTATTAATATAATTAATATTTTTTAATTATTGATTACTTCATTGATTAAGTAAAACATGACTTTATGTTGAATTCACAGTGAATGTATTGAAGCAAATACCGATATTTCTCAATAAAAATCTTCAATTAAATTATATTGCATTATTTTTTAAGATATTAGAAATATTTAATAATAAAAGATTGAATGAATATTTTAATTTTTTTCTCTAGTAGTATATTTACAATTTTCATCTTTATTTAATTTTGATAAATGGATTTGTTTAGAAATACTAAATTGTAACCGATTTGATTCAAATTCAAATTTTTTATTTTATTTTATTTTGTATTAATTCGTGAGAATGTTGAATTCTGTATTTTAGAAAGTAATATGTTTTGTGTATAAAATTGGATAAACATTTTATTTTTTATCTATATATTTATTTAAAACTTTTATCTTTAATTATGCTTTAGAAATTAAAAACTTTGAAGAATATTAAATAGCGATTAAAAATACTTGTAATAATATTAGTTCAGTAAGTCGTGCAATATATATGAATTTTATTATAGAATAAATATATAAATCATTTAAAAATAAAATTTTATATTTTTATAAATAATATAGAAAATAAAATATTAGTTTGGTATGTCGTGTAATATATATATATATATATATATATATATATTATAGTACTATGCAATGAATTAAAATAATGCTAAAAGTGTTCGAAAGAATTTTAGATTTTTGTATTTTCAATCTCAAATTTTTAATAATTTTTTTATATTTTTTCTGTATATTAATACATAATATAATTATATTTCATAAAACTTATTTATTGCTTCATTGATCAAGAGTTAAATTTTATTTACATATATTCATGTATTTTGTCTTTTTTTCTTTTGGTAATAGTCATTCAATGAACGATTTTTTAGGAATAAAATTTAAGTGTAATATTTACTATTTAAACTATTTTTGAATTTAAATTTAAATTTTACTTTAATAGTTTATATAATAAAATTCAGTACTTCAATATTAAAGATTACATATTATCGAAATAAAATTTTAATTTTATTGAAAAATAGTAACATTAATATCTATAATATTACACTTAAATTTTATCTTTTTTCTTAATATGTGTTATATAATAATAAATTAATAAACGTTTTTTAAAATTATAATATTTATATTATTAATGTATTAAATTATATATATATATATATATATATATATATTTCAATTTAAAATAACAATCATTTCGTGTTATAGGATAAGAATCAAAACATATTTAATAGTCTTGTTGAAAATATTAAATGTTAAATTTAGATGCATAGTTTTGACATTTAAAAAATATTAAATTTATGATTTTTTATTTGTAAAATGAAAAGAATTTTATTGATAGTATTAAATGCTTCGTATTCAATAATTTTATTAGGACATTTATTATCAGATCTCAACATTAAAATATTATAAATCAAACAAACATAAAATATAATTGTCGAGGTAGGTAAAGCATCAGTTACGGAAAATTAGTCAAATTAAGAATCAGAATAACTAAGGGGCCAACACGGCAACACATTTCAATGTATTTAGAAAAGAAGTGAGAAATGTACCAAAAAAGAAAAGGGGTGAGATGTATCTATACAAAATAGTTCAAAATTTTACCAAATTTAGATAAAGATAGTCACAAATTTACAGTGGGAAAATACACGAACCAAAATGGAGGCAGGTGGGTCCAATCCATAGGGTTCTACTCAGTTTGGGTTCACTCTTTGAGTATAAATATACATTGAAATACTTGCTGATTTACTGCACCATATATAGTCCACACTACACAGTGATAACAAAAGGGTTGAGAAGAAGAACCAGTGCACCATGACTACTCACTTGTCCTTCCATCTCACTCACAGCCTTCCTTCTTCAAGTGCAAGACCTGCAGCAAAATCCAGTTATTCCTTCAATTTCTTCCTTCAACCATCTTTTAGTTTATTGTGGGGTATGTCAGTTCTATGCTTTTCTTTAATCATATTTTATATTTTAAATTGATTCTCTTTACTTGGACTCTCTTTTTTTATATATGTTTTCTTTTAAATTATCGAAATATAAAATTTTTAATAAAATTACAGAAATATGAATTTTTAAAAAAAATTGTTAATGGTGATTTTTACTCTCATTCTACAATCAACAATTTATTTATTTTCACACTATCACATTTATTATTTGATTGATTAATTCTTTATATTAGAATGGGAGAAGAGTTAAATGATTTAGCAATTTTTTACGAGGACTAATCATCAATAACAGCTTTTGACTATTTTTTTTATACTTTTTAAATATTTTATTATTATTTAAAAAATTATTATTATCATTTTTTATTTTTTAAAAAATTGCGGTTGATGATTTTTAAAACTCATTACTTTTTCGATTTATAATTTTTTAACTTTTCTACTTATACTAAAAATCATTATTAACGATTTATAAATTTTATATTTCTGTAATTTTTAAAAATGAATAATATATATAATTTTTAAATACCATATATAGAAAGTAATCCGTCTTTACTTTCAATCATTTTCTTAATATTCAAATTTCAAGATGCACAGTTCTGGAAGGATTTAACATTTGAATATTCCTTGTTACAGATCTTGTTCCATTTTCTTTTTGGTCAACTCCTGTCCCATTTTTTAATGCCATCAGGGAGAAAGATATTCCATCTATCTTGTACAGTATCCTAAGGCCCTAATGCCCCCTAACCTATTATCCATTTGGAAGTCAACCTTTTTTATGATGTGAAATGAGTCAAAGTAGCCTCTAATACTGATACTCCATTTGACCGAAAAAACACTCTAATAACTCCATGCATTCATGATCAGAAATATGTATAAGGACAGTGGTTTACATAGTTTAGTAATCTTCATATGAATTTAATTCAACAATAAAAAAATGTCAAAAAACATATTATTATCATCTTTTTTTCATGAAAATTGTAACTATGAAGTTTTTATTTAAAATGAAATATCCTTGACACAGTAAAACTACCAATTCAGCATTTAACAAAATTTTTGAATAAATTGTACTATATATATATATATATATATATATATATATATTTATAATGTGTCTCATTACATATGCATAGTTTTAAGTTAATTTTATTAATTTTTGTTAACCATAAAATCAATTGTACTCATTTGGGCATGGAGAAGGGAGAGGTGGTCACAGAAAAGAAAAATTAAATTATACACAAAAACACAATATCTATTTATCGCTTTACCAATTTTTGAATTAATCCAGTAATTTTATAATAATATGAAAAATGTATTTGAATTAAACTGAAATAAAATGCAGAGCAATATATATAATCCTATATTTATTATTAAAATGTTTTGGTAATTAAGAAAACATGTAGGGGTAGGTTAGAATAGTAAAATAGCTATTAGGCCTGAAATCCGAACACGTACTGATCGAATGTCACTTCAAATTTCAAACAGGTAAATGTCCCCTCCGGATCACCGAAAGCAAACATCTCAAGAACTCTGGTGGATTGCAGCCAATATGGTCTCGGACTCAAGGTGATATGAATTTTAGTTAGTTTATTTTTATATGAGATCCATATTCACATACATTATTATCATTTAATTTAAGTAACCTAGTTAATACTTCTCGTTTTCTATACGCTGTTAAAATCAATATAATTACTCTATTTAGTAAATTATGTTGATGATTTTATTTTTATAGGCAATTATGTTGACGAATTGCCATCCTCTATATGGCTTGAGACAGTAAAGGATGATGATATAAACGAGGAAGCTGCTCACCAGGTGCATGTTTCTCATTTAATCTTGATTTTGTAATTATCACATACTGCCTATGAAGGGTTTGACACCTGATTTTTTACTTACAATCGTAATCTTGAAGGTTTTGGTAACAAACGAGATTCGAAGGAAGATAAATGCTATCAAGTTAATGTTGGATTCCATGGAAGAAGGAGAGATAACCATATCAGCTTATGACACAGCATGGGTTGCTCTAGTAAAAAATGTTAATGATGAAAATTCACCTCAATTCCCATCCTGTCTTGAATGGATTGCCAATAATCAGCTACCCGATGGCTCCTGGGGAGACGTTGAATTATTTGAAGCCCATGACCGACTTATTAACACCTTGGCTTGTGTTGTTGCTTTAAGATCATGGAATATGCATCATGACAAGTGTGAGAAAGGTAAATTTATTATACCTATTTTCTGTTACCTTTATTTTTATTTATTATTTTCTCTCCTCTTTTTCTTTTATCTCTCTTTTCACCGCTCTTTTTAACTATGAATTAATCTTTATTTGTTTTACACATATACAAGAATTTCATCACTTTTTGATGGTTGAGCAAACAATGGTCGATCGGCATTGAGTTAATATGTTTCTATTGTGCTTGTTATACATTCATATGTTACAGGAATTAAATTCTTCAAGGAAAATCTACACAAGCTTCAGGATGAGAATGTAGAGCATATGCCAATCGGGTTTGAAGTTGCTTTTCCTTCTCTCCTCGATTTAGCCGCAAGTTTGAATATTGAAGTGCCAGATGATTCTCCTATCCTGAAACACATTTTTGCAATGAGAGACATAAAGCTCAAAAAGTATACATTCTTGTAACACTAACCTTGGAGACTAAAATAATGTTTACGTAGGCTTTTTCAATTATAATTTAGTTGCATATGAGTCTAATTCTTTTTATTATTTTTTGATCCTATGTAACGTTTTAATTGTCGTGCGCGCGGTGTAGAATACCGAAAGAAGTGATGCACAAGGTGCCCACAACATTGCTCCATAGTTTGGAGGGAATGCCAAATTTGGACTGGAAACAACTTCTTCAGCTGCAGTCCCAAGACGGGTCATTCTTATTCTCTCCATCCTCCACAGCTTATGCTCTTATGATGACCAAAGATGAAAATGCTCTCAAATACCTGGAAAAAACAGTCAAGAGGTTCAATGGGGGAGGTAAAACTGTCTTGATCAATGCTTTTTTCATTATGATATATACAAATTTTGCCCATAATAATTATAAAAGGATAAGAAAACATTTAAGACACATAAATGATGGAGAAAACTTTTAAGTGTTATTTTGTAAATGCTTCTAGTATTATTTATCAATTAAAATTAGAATTTTATTTTAATAACATATTTATATATAATGTTATGGCAAATTATCAAGATACAATTTTAAATTTATTAAACAACACTTAAACAGTTGCACTTAATTAAGTTTGGTACATACATTTTCAACTAAACTGATTTAAGGAGTTAAATCATTATTTATTTATTTACTTCTTTGTTACTCTAAATAAAAAAAAATCTCAATATATAACAACTAAGAAACAAAATATTATAATTTAAAGTAGGGATTTCTTTTAAGTTTTCATTTTCTAAGTTAGAATGAAAAAGAAAAACAGAAAAATAATTAATTTTCGTTTTCAATATTCCAAGGGCAAATATAATTTATTTATTTTTATTTTTCTAGTTCCAAATGTCTTCCCGGTGGATTTGTTTGAACACATATGGGTTGTTGATCGGCTAGATCGTCTTGGAATTTCAAGATACTTTCAATCAGAGATCATGGATTGTGTGAGTTATATTTCCAGGTACGTGGAATGAGTTTATCAACAATTGCAAATACTAAAAGAAAACACACGTTATCAAGTATATTATTTTGTTATGTTTTTGATATTACATTCTAATTATTAAATACTTTCTACTGTTTACTATTGAATAGTACTCTTCAAATAGGGAGAAAAATTATAAATGAGAGAAAAGAGACCTGCATTGTCTCCTATCTAATTAATCACTGAATAAATGTAATTTAAAAATTTCCAGATTTTGGACTGAGAAGGGTATTTGCTGGGCAAGGAATTCAAATGTTCAAGATATAGATGACACAGCAATGGGATTTAGACTGCTAAGGTTGAATGGTCACCAAGTTTCACCGAGTAAGTTATCCTTATACTACAAAAGCTAAAATATCTTAGTTCCTTTAATATCTTATATTGCTTAGAGAGATAAATATATATGGTTTTCATAAATGACTAAAGTGTTAATTTTGATTCCAATTTTGGTAGATGTGTTCGAGCATTTTAAGAAAAATGGTGAATTCTTCTGCTTCTCTGGGCAGTCAAACCAAGCTGTGACAGGGATGTTTAATCTTTTTAGAGCATCTCAAGTGCTATTTCAAGGAGAGAAGATTCTTGAGGATGCCAAGAATTTTTCAGCAAACTTTTTAACTGAGAAACGTGCTGCTAACGAGCTCCTAGATAAATGGATCATAACCAAAGACTTACCTGGCGAGGTGCGTCCCAAGAGCATTACTATTCACCTATAATTAAGTTTTTTTTTTTTTAAAAAAAGTAATCTTATTTTCACAACACGTTCTCACGCTAGCTATATATATTTACAATAAAGAGAAAATGAACTATAAATGAAGTGAAATGAGAATAGAGTTATATTGCAATCAGCGTACTTCACACCAAGGTATGTATTTCTGAGAAAAACAATGAAAAAAAGATTCGATAATTTTATGTGGCTATAGAGCAATTCATTTTATTTTCTCTCCAATTCGGAATTTAGCCCATTAACACTGTAACGAATACTCTACAGGTTAGTTACGCGCTGGATGTGCCCTGGTATGCTAGCTTATCCCGATTGGAGACAAGATTTTTCCTTGAACAATATGGTGGCAACAATGATGTTTGGATTGGCAAGACCCTTTATAGGTACCAATCTCTTAATGCCAATACTAATAAATCAAATATAACATTCAATTTTTTTTTAAACCATGGTCAAATGATTATGGAGAAAAGTCCACAGTTGGGTACTCAATATATTCATCAATAATTCAGTGAGACGATCACTTTTATCAAATATAACTATTACCCAAAATGTTAATATAAAATTATTATGTACCTTTCATAACTCAAGCTTTTAAGATAGTTAGTTTATTACATGATATTACAACTTTTATGAACAAGTAATCTAGAGTTAAATCCTTGACATCAATTCTCACTTTTATAAGAAATGTTGAATATAAGCAAAAGTACGTATGATCCATGATTCGAAGTTCTTCAAGGATTTTTCTTTTTCTTGTGACGAAACTTGTTGCATATTTGAGATATACACTCAAGTCATAACAAATCTGTTTATTATTCTCTCTTATCAGGATGCCCCACGTGAACAGTGATCTTTATCTGGAGCTCGCAAAGTTGGATTACAGCAACTGTCAAGCAGTGCATTGTGCAGAATGGGAAAAAATCCAAAGGTAACTATATATATATATATATATATATATATATGCTAATTTCAATATAGTACGCAATAGCCAAATAAACTTGGAATATTTTGAATGGCATGTATGTTAGGTGGTACTCGGAATCAGGACTAGAGGGGTTTGGATTGAGCAAAAGAAGTGTCCTATTTGCTTACTTTGTAGCAGCTGCAAGCATATTTGAGTCTGAGAGGTCTCGAGAGCGACTTGCATGGGCAAAAACACTAGCGTTGCTCGAGACACTGAGGTCCTTTATAAAGGATAAAGAAACTAGGACTGCATTTGTGGAGCGGTTTAACAGCAGCATTAACGGACCAAACCATTCAAACAAGTAAGCATTCCATTCATTGTTTGTACTGTCACACAATATTACTTTGTGCATGCCTATTTGTATTTAGTATTGAAAAAATTTGTACTTGCAGAAGATAATATATGGTAAAAAAAACTGTTAATAATACATTCTTTATCATTAATCTAGTTTTACAAAAAGTTTAATTATTTTAATTTTTATAAATACTAACTAATTATAAAAAAAATATGTTAAAGGGGGTATTTTAAAAAACATGTCACTAACATTTTTGTGTGATAAATTATATCAATAATAACAAAATTTGTCTTGAGTGTGTTGCAGGCAATTGAACAAGAGAGAGGATGAACTCCTGGAGATTTTGCTGGCAAACCTTGATTACCTTGGGTTTGAGATGTTCAAGGCTCATGGTCAAGAAGTTTCTCATTTTTTGAATCAAACAGTGAGTGAAACTCTCTTGAGCTTTATAACTTTATATGATATATATACTTATGTGAAATATGTAAAGAATAGTAATAACAAGAACTTTAGGACTTGTTTAGTCTGTGAAAACATTTTTTATTTTTATAAATAACTACAAATTTCTTTTTTCAAATTAAAAAGGTTGTTAGATATTAGATTTCTTCGCTTAAACTTTTATTTTATTTTTATTATCAGTGGCAAGGCTGGCTGTCAAGTTGGCAAAATGAAGGGAAAAGCACTCAAAGAGAAGCAGAACTGATTGTTGAAACCATAAATTTAATGGCTGGCTTTTGGTCAGAAGAACTTCAGCTCAATCCACAGTACCATAGGTTGCTGGAAGTTGCCAATAGAGTCTGCCATGGGCTCCGAAATTACCAAAACGACAAGGTTACTGAAATTTAATGGTGCAATTTATCAAACAAGTTAAACATAATTTATAAAAAAATACTTTTAGTAATTTTCATACACTAAAATAAAATATGTATAAGCTTTTCTAAATCTTTGTATCTTGAATTTTTGCATTTTGTTAGGCACATGACAGTGGCAAAAGTAAGCTGAGTACAACCACTATCACTACCCCTGAAATAGAATCAGATATGCAAGAACTTGTGCAACTGCTGGTCCAAAATTCCTCAGATGGCGTGCACTCCAATATCAAAAATTCATTTCTTACAGTGACTAAGAGCTTCTACTATGCAGCATATTGTGACCCAGAGAACATCGACTCTCATATTGAGAAGGTTCTCTTTCAAAAAGTGATGTAAATCACTAATAATGTTTAGAACAGTAGTCAGAGTTCATTATGTTATTTTCCCTTGTGGCCATTGGAATAAGTGCTAAATTGGTGATCATTTTGTTTTCTGTAAATAAAAATGCAATAAATTAAAGGGAAAAAGATTTAACAAATTATATCAAGTGTTACAATTTTTTATTTGATAATTAACAAATAATAATATTTAGAGGATTGAAAATTAACATTTTAGAATCATAATAGACCTGATTTGAATTTTAAACTCTTTAATAGTTTCTTATGAAGACATTAGTTGAGAGAAAGAGGATTCCACTCAGAAATTAGCATTCAATTGGAAGAAATGATAAAATAAATGTTCAACGCCTCTACAGGGACTGCAAATTTTAACTTTTCTCAGTTGGAGTGCTAATATCTACCTTGAATGCATCCTAATAAAGAGTAGAAACCAAGCAATTGTGTAACTGAAATAATCGCCTCCATTTCGGTAGATCAATAAAATTATAAAAGGAAAATATTAGAGCTTGAAATCTATAAAAATGTAACTAAACTTTAACCATTTATAAGAAAATATAGGACTACTGAAACTAATATGTTACTATAGTAGCACAAAATTTTGCTTGTGAAAAAGCATGACCTAATTTATTAGTTTGATACTCAAATTGAAATATGATAATTCCTTCTTTACTTATTTAACTTGAAATATAAGGGTCTTTCAAAATTATGCATCTAATCAAATAACTTTAAGAAATTCAAATTTGTCCGATAGAATAAAATCCTCTAACATTTATAAGTTCATTGTTTGGCTACGTATCCTTGCATGATGATATTTAATTAATCAACTTGAAAATCCAGATAGCCTTTTTCTTTTACTAAATATATTTGAGGGTATATATGAGTAATAACTACTATACAGATTCCACGGTAATAGTCAAATTTAGATAATTGAATTCGTCAATTCCCCCTCGTTATTTAGCTTGTAAAGACACTTGGCCTGGTATTCATCAATTTTGACTCTTCTAATATATACACACATAAGAAAATTCCAGCTGGTACAGTACAAAAGAAGAATAATGATACTATGATAGTGCAGATTGTTTCCACTCAAACTTATATTATGTTATTTGTGTTAATTATATTATTTTTTACTTTCATACATATATTACTTTTGTTTATATTAAAGTAATTAATTACATGCTTTGAAAATTTTTATATTATTCTGTATTATGTAAAAAATATTATTAAAGTAAAATAATTGACTTCTATAATACTGAAATAATTTATATTTTTTAAATATATGAAAAGTATAAAATGACTAAGAATGAGTTAACCATAAATTTATATTAATTAAATAATTATTTATTTTTAGGCTACTTCGAGTCTCTCATAGGGAATTTGAAATGTTTTTTTAAACACTTACTACTATAAAACCTAATTAAACAAGAGTTTTAATAATTATTATGTAATATTTTCTTCTTCTTTTTTCTATCACAATGGTTATTACGTAACGTTTTTCTTTTTTTTATCTCTTTTTTACAAAAAATTTGTACAAGTATACTTTATAGTTAAACAATGTAATATTTGTTAAGATATCTCACATATAAGAATACAATTAGAATTTTTCTTATGAATTTTAACTTTTTTTTTTCTTATGAACTAATTTAAAGTATTCAAATTGAATGGTGAGTCGTCCTCGTTTTATTTGTATTCATGCTTGATTGCCATTTTCAATAACTGAAGAGACGTACTTGGATTGGATAACACAACTTTAATTACTCAAGAAATGGTTATCTTACTCTTTAAAGTTTTGAATATTGAAGCATACTCTCGTTCTCGTTAATTAATTTCCACGGTCAGAGTGTTGAATAATGTCTAGTTCAGAATGAAAAGCATGATAGATAGACGACACCACAGCTCTAACTATCATAATTTGTTTTGAATTTAAGATTGCAAAAGTAATAATGGTTCAGTGCTCTGTATTTGGAGCTAGCTTTATAATATTATCACTCGTCAAGGATTCATTGCATTAAACTAGTAAAAGAACTATTTGTTAATTGGGAGTTTTGTGGCTTGTAACTTGTAAATGACGATAACTATGGTCAGGGGTAGGGTGATCACAGGATGATTTGTTTTTCCCTCAACCAATGAAAGGGCAATATTTCTTATTATATTCCAGAAAGAGAATCTAAAGAGCTAGCTTTTTACCCATAAAGTCAATTTGAATAAAATATCCATTCTACGAAAGAAAACGTTTGCACCTACTTGAAGTCAATTTATTTATCCACCCAAAAGGTCAATTTATTTGATACTGTCTTGCATCCACTACCCGGGGGAAAAAAGGTGGACCCATATTTGACCCTGGGAAGAGAAATTCAAGATTTTTAGTCGTGTGCGTCAAGGCATTTGACTGTCGGCAACTCCATGAAAAGCAAGCAGAAGAAATTGTTTATTGTCTTAAATGATGTGATGATTTAAATTAAGATGATCATAATAATTTTATTCAACTTAATTGTACGTCAAGTGAAATCTCAAATTTAAAGCCCACCATTATTTGATGATATATATATATTTTTTAGAAGCACAAAAGTTTCATTAATTAAGCACTAGGAGTGCTTAACTCATATTTACAAGTATTAAGCTCCATATATTAAGTTTTACAAATCAACCCAAAACAAACAATTTCTATTAGACCTAACCTTCTCTTATATAATAAGAAGGAAAATATGTTTTGAATAATAGTTCTCTGTCATTATGCAAGAAAGAGTAACTCTATGGTAAGAACAAGTTTAGAGCACCAAGTAAGGAATGAGAAGCAAACTATCTTAGCACAAGTTGCAAGAGCTTGTCATGTCTTTAATTTAATCATCTCCATCACTTTTAGGATATTCAATTCACAATTAAAAAAATAATTTTATTTCTATGCTTCTAAATATACCACAATGTCAAGCTCCAAATAACTAAAGTGACTTTCCATCGTTTCTTATCTGGTAGCAGCTCAGAAAAACTAATAGTGTTCTATACTAAGGAAGAATATGAGCATAATGAACGATTCAACCAAGTTGAAATGCCCTCCAAATAGACTTTACAAAACTATAATCTATGAATAAATGTACAATATTTTCTATCTCTCTTTTACAAAAAACGCATATATCATTATCTAAAATATAATTTAGTCCTTTTTCTAATAAGATTAGCTTTGAAGGGAAAAGAGTCATGGATCACCTACCATATAAACACTTAGACTTTATGAGGAACCTAACAACACCGTACCTTGTTCAAAATTTGAATGCTTAAAATGTTAAAATTTTATCCTACATCCACATTGCTTTGTATAGTACAATACCCAGATTTTGTAGAAAATCTTTAATACTATCACTCATCCAAATACATCTATCCAAAGTGTTTTGGTGTGGTCGATAATTCTGCAAAATAATAAAAAAGTTAGTAGCAATCTCCTCCTCCCATAGTCTAAGTTTCCTCCTCCACCGAATCCTCCATACTCATCTATTCTCTAACCAAAAACTATTATCTATCACCACACTCTCCGTATGTAGTGCCAAAGCAAACAATCTTAGAAAGTGAGACTCAAAATTGTTCATGCCCAACCACATCTCACTCCAAAAGCTCATATTCGATCTATCTCCTAATAATTTCTTCACACTATTTACTAACTAATTGTTTGTAAGGTAACCTACTCTTCAAATATCCTTCCATTAGGTTGAAACTTTAGGATTTCTCAATAAAATATTTGGTGTAGCAAACAAGAAAAAACAATTGAACGTTATTCTGAAATTGAAATGGTAATTAGAACACTGAAGGTACTTAATTTGTTAATTTACTGGTTTAGTTAAAAATTAAATTGTTTAAATTAATGATGACTAAATATTTTTTTAGGCTGTTATAATTTTTTTAAATTTAAAATAAAGTTTTTAGTTTTGTTTAGATGAAAATTTTTAAAATTTTAAAAATAAAAAATTAATAATGAGAGATGATTACAGTAAAAGTTTAATATAAAATGAGTTATGAATAATAAATATAAAAGGTTAAGTATAATGTTGAAATTTTTAAATTCTCTCTAAAGACAAGTCATTTGAAATTATTTCTATTTAACATAAAAATTATTTAATTAAAATATTATGATATTTTAAAAAATCTTTTTTAACTATCCAAATACATGCAATGCAATAATTTTGAATTATTCTATTCAAACACAACATTATAGTTTAAATTTTTTTAATAAAGTCTTTATATTTAACAAAAATTTAAAGGGAATCTTTGCTTGCTAACAATTGTCAAAGATTTCTCAACTTTTTAAAAAAAAAAATTATAATATGTTTATATAAAAAATAATATATTAAAAGCTTAGACAAACAGTAGTGATTTTATTTGATAGATAGCATAGTTGAATAAGTATATTTTATTTAAATTTCAAATAGGTCTTATAGTTTTGCAAAAGTTAACAATGTTTAACCTTTAAGAACTTACTCAAAAAGTTTTATCAGTAACACAAATTTTATTAAAACCTTTTAAATTATGAAGACTTAGTGCAAAATTCAATAAAATTATTAAAAGCACGACTGTCCCGTAACTATTAAGCAGGGCTCACGTTACAATGTTGAAATAATATTTTGTTTGTGTGTATATAATAGTTAGTTAACTATGTTATTTAAAAGCATGACTGGCTAAGGCTTTCATTGCAAAGTAATTACATCTAGTTGGAACTGGATCACCCACCCACAAAAAGTTATTGAGCAAGAAGGAAAAAGCTTTGAAACAAAATGTTAAAAGATGAAAAACACATTACTTATTAAACAATGTATCAACTATTTATACAATGGGAAAAAATATTTACAGTAACATATTGCTTGGATTTTTGTATTTCGGGCTATATGCACGTTTTCATACAAGTACTAACAGATTACATGCGATCATGAGCAAGGTTCTGTTTTGAGCTGTGGACCGTTCCTTGTAACCATGTAATTATAGAAGTTCAACTTGTTTTTGAACCTTCCACGGGGAAAGTAAAGATTGAGATATATATGTGATTTAAGTTCATGATGTTAATCTTGATTATTTATTGGGGCAAAATCACAAGTCGATTGTATCACTTTGCCCAAGATTTTCTTTGAAGTGAAACTAACTTCTATGCGGTCGCAAATGGAAAATTTAGTAAGCGATGTGCAGAATTCTGGAGATAGATTTTGCTATATCCTCGAACATATTCTTATAATAATCTTATTATTTTACAACGAGAGAGAAAACAAAAATTACTCGAAGCATGGAATTGAAAAGGGTATATAGAATCCCCGTCTCAGAGAAGATTCTTAGTTTAACATTCTAACTCTAAAGGTAAGAAGCCACGTTGAGCTCAATGGTTTCCTTGGCCTGTTTATCAAATGGTTCCTCACCAAAATATAAATCTAGAATTGACTTACATAGGAGTTTACTCTGGATGCTTCCCACTTCCTGTCCGTCAACTACAAGATATGAGATTAAATTAATGTTAAATTAATGTAACAAATTGTTGTTGCAGTGTAACATAACAAAAATATAAAGCATGTAATTCACAGCGTACCCATTAATCACATAAAGCGATTAAAACACGCATACAACACATTGTTGTACCAGTTCCACTTTGAAAGGTCCCCCCAAGTTAAACGCTTAACAATAGTCTCTAATGAATGACAATCTTACCAACGTATAATTGCATCAGGTACTAGATACAGTAAATTTAAATTTGAAACCTTTACTTGTGTTATTTATGCTAGCTATTTTTAGTAAGGGTAAAAGTGACCTCAAAAGCTAATTTCTCAAAAGATTCAGTGCAAATTATAAAAAGAGAATACATTTCGACATTAGCTGAATTCATTTGAGACAAAACTCTTTCCCATTATCAATTTTTCAGATTCAGAATATAAAATTGCGGTAGTACTTCCACCCATTTCCTTGTTGTAAATTGTAATTGGAAAGGTATAAATGACATATGACCATGGAGTTGTCTTTCTATTCATTGCATAAGCTTCATGCAGCCAGTTAGGTGCATGGTGTATAAGGGGGCAACCCTTAAGTTAGATTCAGTTCTTAATTGAAGGAAGATTTATACAAATGAATCATCTGAATGAGTTCTCAACTGATTTTCTGAATCACTGCCGAAAAGACCTGATTTATTCTTATACAAAACGCTCATTGAAGCACAAAATATACATTTAACTGTATTACAATTCTGAAAGTTTAGAAGACGGAAATGCAGACACAGTGAAAGATGACTTACTGGTTGTGCGAAGAACGTGACCTTTCTCTCTTGAGAGATGAATCACTGATCCACATGGTATTTTGATTTCATCTTTAAACTGTGAAGTAAACCTACATCACAGCATGCTAGTAAAGTAAAATTACAAAATACAACAGAAAAGTCTGATCCACTTGGATGGAAAAAGTTACATCTCATGAATAGAGATACTCATAATAAAATTTTCCACGGCTTATCAAAGCCAATATATTAGAAACAATTATAAAATGCTTTTGATTTTAAAGCATGTAAGAGATATCGTTGAGTGGTATAGAGCTTGGTTGGAGGGAAATAGAGGGGAAGGGAGGGATTCTTTTAAAAATAGGATGTTTGGTTCAATATTTGGAGGGAAGAGGCCCAAAATTCCTCCCTTCCTATTTTGATTCCCCTACAATGTCTGTGTGTGTGTGTGTTGAGGGGGGGGGGGGGGGGGGGCTGCTTTGGAGTGGAGAGAAAATAGTTCAAATTTTTGTGTTCTTCTAATTAAATTATTCTTAAATCAAACATTTGAGTTTAATGGCTTTATTTATCTATAGTAAAGGTACAACGGTAAATTGCTCTTTTCTCTCCTCTCCCTTTGCAAACCAAACAAGGTGTGCCTTACTTCTATTAAAAATCCCTCCTTGAACTAAATAGTGCATTAGAGCTTGAGAAGAAAAAAGTAAAGGCTTCAAAGATATTACTCCCAAAAGCCAACTTCTCCGACAACTTTAAGAGAGTTCTGAGGTGTTACAGTGATATGCACATATATACTCAATGTTTTACAAAAAAATTTGAGTGCGTGTTGTGTGTGGATTTTAGAGTTCAATAATTTGGATGCAGATCAGCAATTTCACAACTAGTTCTACACAAGTAATAAATATGTAATGACTAAACTCACAACACATGCAAATGAGATTGGCAGTTGAAGGAACTATTGACCTTTGAAGCAATTCTTTATTGTCTGATCCCCCAAACTTTTTCAGTCTGTTTCCTACAGACTCTTCAAACGCGCTACGTACAGAACGAATGCTCAATTTGCTATAGACAATTTGAAGTCTAACTGTCATTGATATATCATTTTCCATAAGATCTTCAGTAAACTCCTTATTGCCCTTCAATTCGGAAGCAGAAAATTTCCCATATTTCTCAGAAAGACATCTCTTTATGTCATTATCGTCAGCGTAGACACCTGCAACAAATGACACAAATTTTCTAAATACTATAAAATTTTTGTTTCAGTCCCTTCAGCGCATTACAACAATTGGATCTTTTCATGACGAGGCCACTAATAACCTAGAAAATATGAACACATAACAAAAGAGAATAACCGAAGAATTTCTCTAGGTAAGTTTCTCAACGTAAAAAGAGTTTTAGCATTCGTCATTACATCGCCATTCTATATACATTTCTTTCCTTTTCCTTTTGTCCAAGGTAAAACTCAGCAAATTTACAAACTAATTACACAAAAATTAAATTACAGTAAAACCATATTGACACTGCATCTTAAAGGGAATCTACTTAGGTCTTTTCTAAGTATATATTATAAAAGAACATAAGGAAAAGACGTTAATGTGATATCATCTAAAAGTAGTATGCTAAATTGAGAAAATATTTTCCCTTTTTCTTTTGTATTGAGGGTTGTGATTATAGAAGGAAAATAAAATATGATACCAAATGCATATACATCGATGTTCTTCAATCCCAAAATGTTTTTTCTCCGCAACCCAATTCCACATAGCTGCTGCGAAGTGGATAGAACAGAAGGGAACGAAGCTCTGGTCTTTGATTCGACGACGGGAACTCCAGTGTCAGCAAAACTAAGTGAAGCCCAGAGAGGGAGAGAGTGATTACAAGAGAAAAACGAAGTGATAGCATTTGGGAGGAAGGGGCGGTCAGATGAGGAGACAGCGACGAGTGCTGCGGTGGCTCCGGCGGTTGCGGCGGTGGCTGCAACGATTGCAGTGAAGGGGCGAGGGAATTGAGGCGGTTGGAGCTGAGAAAACAAGAAAGGGAAGCGGAGGGACACCATCTTTGTTTCGTTATTGTCGCTGTTTCGGAATCACACCACGCAAGACGCGTCTAGATGGGAAAACAAAATTTGCACAGGTGCCCCCAAGTTTTTTATTTTTCACTTTTTAAAATAATAAATGATTAATGTAAGTGACTGTAATTAATTAATTTTGACTTGTTAAATGTTGGATCAATTTCATTTATTTTAATTGAAAAATTAAAAAAATGATAATAACATTCTCTAAAAATATAGTAAAAAAATTAATTAAAAATGTATAAATATGATAAGTATCATATTTTTAACAAAATTTTGATTATTTATAAATACTTAAAATTAATTTTAAAAACTGAAATTAATAAAAAAATATTAAAACATCAGTTCATATTTTATTTTTAAACTAAACTAAACATTAAATTCAATTTAAAATCTATAAGTTTGACATTTATAGGTGAATAATAACTGTGATTACATAATAATAATAATAATAAATAAAATTATTTTAAATATACTAATATTTTTATATTATTATCAAATTATAAAATAGTACAATGTTAAAAACTATTAATTTTATAATATTTACTTTAAAGCCATAGTTATAATAATGAATAAAAATGTATATTAATAATATATCAAAATTAAAATAAAAAATTATTTAAACTTAGTTTGAATAAATTTATGATAGAATCCCTATATAAAAAAAATAAATTTCCGTTGTCTAACTTGTTTATCGGGTAAGTTTGTTTATAATTTTAACCATCAAATTCAACACAACGTGGCTTCACTGGTCAAAGAAATTTGCAATTCCTTTGCTAAAATTTGCAGTATGATTAATTATTGTTAGTTGCATATTTAGATCACATTATAATCACACACCCACCATACTGATATCTCTTATTGAAAAACAATTAAAACAGAGGCTATGAGATTTCAAATATAAATTTTCCAAAGTAAAAAATTATCACTTCACCCAAAATTCTGTTAATAAAGAGCACACAACCAGGCCTTTATTCCAAGGTTAGTCTCGTGGACTCTCTTGACCAAAAAACGTTTCTTTCGGACTTCAAACAGAACTGCAACGAGACTTTGAGACTGGGCTGTGGATTCCATCCTCAACTGGGCTACCATATTTTGGGGTTAAGCTAGTCCAAATTTTGATAAGAGACCACTCTCTTTCTATCTTTTTTTATTTTTTTTCAATAGATAATATTCAAAAGAGACAAACTTATTTAAGATACTTTACATCAAATATAAATGTGTCTCCCATTAAAAGTTTAAACCGTACCGCAAACATTAATAAATAAATTCAAGTTTAAACCGATGTTTGTTATTGTGAGAAAAAAAAACATTGCAAGATTTAATTTATAGAATTAATTTTACATTTTACAGAAAATAATTAATTTGTGACAAATTAGCTTGTCAAGAAAAGGTCTAATTACATCTTAACATCTATATTTTAGTTTATCTATAATTTTAATCTCCTTAACTTTAGTTGTTGATATTTTATATATATAAATTTTTATTATTTAAATTAGATTTGGCTAAACACATTTTTCTCGATATTGTAATTTGGGATAGGTAAACTCAAATTTTGCCTTAAATAATCTTGACTTATTCTGAAAAGGCAAGATATGAATCTAACGTGTATTTTCAAAGATATGGCTTTACTTTTCAAAAGTTCAATAATCTAGCTTAAAATATTATTTGAATATCTATTTTATAAAAAAAAATAACTAAATATAACAAGAAGAATAAAAATAAAATATATTGTTACATAAAAATTATATTTCCTTTAATCAATTGATCCATCTAAATTTAAAAATATTTTTTTAAACAACAAAACATCGTTAGGTAAATGAAGTTTTAAAAGTACCTAAACTAAAGTGGTTAGCAAATATGTCAAGCTTAATTTGATTAGCCCATAAACCCCACGCTAATCACTTCTCTTTATTGTGATTTTCAAGTACTGTCCACCTTTTTTCGGTATTCTTGAAAGGAGAAAATTCATTGAATCGTTCAAAATTAATCGGTGTTCATAGTCTCGACTAATTACCAGATAATATGTGATCATATCTTTTTGAATTAAAAAAATATATTAAAACTCTTACGCATGCTACAAAGTGAAGAATCATTAAATCGTTCAAAATTGCTGTATTTATAATCTCAACTAATTATCATAGAATACTATATTTTGTTTTTCAACAACTAAAAAACAAAATAAACTTTTGCGTATGCTACAAAGTGAACACGTGATTGTTTCAAACCATCTAATAAAATTTTCAACGAGATATAAATTTTTTGTCTCTGAACTAAGAGATGATAAAATTAATGTAGCATAGCTAACATCTACCACAACTTATTATTGTGGTGTTATTTTTCATAACAACTGGAGCTGACCCACATTTACAGTAACAGCTCTGACTCCTATGAGAAAGTTTTTGTTTTATTGTTGCTGTGTAAATATTCAGGTGAAGTGATGGGATAAAACCATAGGAAGTTGTTTTCACATCAATGGAGGGCTCCATTAGAAGGATTCATTGCACAAATGCAGCTTATGGTAAAGACACAGAGACGTGGAGGATGTTTCAGATATTTATTGTCTACCATATTCATTTCATGCAAAAGTTAACATGTATCGAAATATTCTTTACACATATAGGTACATTTTTTAAATAATTACATTCAATCGAAGTGCCTACTCTAATATGAAAACCAATTGCGGTTGTTAGTAAGTACAATCAAGTTGAGGGTTTGCCCTTGACAAAAGCAGCAACAATTTGCATCAAACTTTTTTCCATTCAAAGCATCATTAGCACCATAAACAAATCAAATTGACTCGATTTCATCTTATTTATTATTATTATTATTATTTGTGTGGATGAAGGGTACAGCTCTGGTTGAAGCACATGGATATTAATGGAGGTTCACTTGGGAGTTTGATTGGAATGGGACCCTCGGATTGTGAGGCGATTGGATATGGCACCTAACGCAGGGCCATATTTATTGAGAGCCATCGAACAAGAAGCTATAAATGTGTTCCTCCTAAGTGCAAGTTTGACAATATCCCCCACACAAACACAAGCTTGTTTTGGTTCTTCCATAGTGTCTTCCTCTGTTATTTGGCGGTTGGGCTTTGTCGGCTATTCTTTCTTCTTTCATCCCCGTCTACATTCATTTTGTCAATTTTATAAACGTCATATCGTGGCCAAAACTCAAATTTCGAATCATCTTTATTACCCTTTTCATCGATAAGATATATGCAGATTTTGGATTCATAAAAAAAGAAAAAGTCAAAATCTTTGGCTTTGTAAATCTCACAACCTTGTAAAACGTACTCACCATGTGCATCATTAATCAACAACCCTCTTTTTGGTGGGGTTGGGAAAAAGGTGCCGAGTTGAATTTTTGTTTCTATACCAAGTGGGAACTTCCCTACCAGTATTTATTTTTCAATCAACTAAAATGGAGTAGCCCACTTACTAAGAGAAAAAGTTGGGCTACTATGCTGTCTCATTTATCCATTGGACTCGATATCTTTAATGCTTAAGCCCATCTTCCATATTTAGATATAGTTTAAATATAAATTTGAATAACTTGACCAAAAAACAAATATATATATATATATAATTTGGAAATTATTTTTCTGGCATAAATTCAAATTTTTAGTTCTTATTTCACTATGTAAAATATGTAAAAAAAAAATTATGTTAAAAGAATACCTGTGTAAACTATTTTTAAAGTCAGTTGACCCAATTTAAGTAAGTTTTTAGATACTATTTATGGAATAAAAAATTAATATGAAATATAAATATTTTTTCTATTGTAAATTTAAATTAACTTGTATCCTTATATTTTAAAGAATGTAAATAAAAAAATATTTAGAAAAAATAGAAAATATAAACAAAATTATTTTACTATTTAATTTTTTTTATTCATACATTTATCCAAACTACTTAATGTATAGATTTTATTAAGATTAATAATATACATAATAAAAATTTATAGTGTTGTTGTAATTAAACATGAAATATATATAATTTCATTTAAAAAATTATTATAAATAATAGTTTTAACATATTTTATAAATTTATTGTTTTGTTTTAAAAAAAATAAGTTTAAGTTGCTTTGTTGATGTCCCTTTCAACATTACAATATAATTAATAATATATGACAAAATACAGACAATGCTATTAACTATTTTGTCTATCTTATTTAAGTTTTTGTACTAATTTTGTTGATCTATCAGTCATATTAATAATATAATTATTGACCCCATCATCAATGTCATTTAATGAAGTGATATTTTTATTTTTTTAAGAATACTTTTTTTATCTCCCATCCAGTGATAAAATATAAAATTGTATGAGAAAAATATTCATTGACTTAAGTAGATAGTGTTAAAATGTTTTCTCCTTCTCAGTTGTCGGCATTTCTTCATTATTAAGTCGTAGGAGTAAGTTGTTTGTAAAATTCATATGCTAAAGAACTTATAAATGTAAGGTCAATAATTTTTATAAGTTAAAATTTCTTTAACTGTTTTGTTTAAAATTATAATTAATAATGTCTCTGAATGGTTTTTTAAGAGGTTTAAAATCAGTAACGTTTTTTTTAAGATTACGGGCATAAGTCAATCAAGCAAATTTGACTCATTTATTTCAATCAAATTATATAAAAATAATATTTTTAAAATATTTTCTCTTAGACTTTGTTTAAGAGATTAATAGAAAGAAAGAGAAAAAAAATAAACAAAAAAATGTCAAATTAAAAATTTTAAAAAAATAAATTTACAAGGAGTTTTAGAAAATTTATAACTTCTTTTTATCATATTAAAAAACTCTCGAGAGTGATATTATCAAATAAATTATTCACTTTTTTCTAGAATTAATTTCTAAATAAAATCTTAATAAATAATAATAAAATTTTCAAATATAATTTTTATTATATAATTATATATAAATAATTAAAATTTAAAGTTAGTTAATAGTAAAGTGACCTTTCAAAAACATCTCATGCAATTTTTTTTAATATTGACATTTCAATAAAATTTAATAGTTTATATTTATTATTTTTA